GTTGATCTTCTCATTACTATGGATCCTCAACCTGAAATCTTCAATTTAGAAGATTTTACTTCATCAAGTCCAGAGACTGATCCCAATGTTGAGGTATTTATTTTGATAGAGTATTTGTTAACTGATTGCTAACGGCTCAATGCGGAAATAGGGCATTCCTGTACAACTCACAAATTCAAAAAGCCATTCTCTCCAGACATCAAAAATTGAATATATTGATGACTTACCAGAGTATCCGACAAGTCATATTCATGGATATTCATATGTTGTTGCATCTAGAGGGCGATCACAGAATGAAATGGAGCAGCTTGTTCATGAGGTACTGTTAAGTACTTTCTAACTGCTTTTAAAGTGCTTGCTAATCAGTTACAGATTCAATACTCACGGCGTCAACAACATGGACCAAGGAGACCAGTCAAATGCCCATTTTTCAACTGTTTAGTTAAAAGATGGACTTGGAAATGCTCTGGTATCTACGCATGTGAATTTTTGAATCCATTTCTTCAATCCTATCATCATACATTTGTTGATGAGGATTGTTGGGATGTGATTCGAAATACTCAGAGGAATATCCAAATCCTGGAGGCAAATATTGGAAAATGAAATGCATACAGGTATTTAAACATCTCCTAAACAGCTTTGAAGCAATTACTAAGTACTTCTAGCTATTATCGGTCAAAAAATGAATTTTTCAATAAGGGTTATGCATGCATTGACCAGCTTCCAACTTGCAAGCCAGTTTTTAAGCGGCATACCCAAATGGTTGGTTAAATCTTTTTACAATGCTCCAGGTGATTTCTAACTAGTCATAGAATGTCCATGGTGAATTTCCACCATATATTGGCTGTAGTAATGGATCCAATGAGTTTTTAACGAAACATCATCGAGGATCTATTCAAGGCCATACATCAATTGATCTACAGTTTCTTGAGGACCTTTTTAATCATGATATTATGCCACCAACTGAAGAATGTGGTGTTTTTGAATCATTAGCATCCCAACAAAAGTATTGCGGTAAGTGCTTTTTAAGTGGTTGTCAATCACCTATTAACTGGTTAAAGATCGAGATCACCTCCAGGGGCCAGGCAGACTACAGCATACTTCCTGTGGTGTTATTTTTACTGCTTTAGTGCCAGTTGATATCAATGAATGTCCATATATCCTCTTTACATCCCATGGAGTTCACCAGCATCCACCTCCACCACCAAGCAAGGCACCAGAACGAATTTTACAAGGAGTGAAAAGGATTATCCAACAAATACAAGACCTGAGTTTGACCACAGGTAAGTGGTTGGTTCTCAAGTGATTGAACAGTACATACTAAGTAGTGTTAGCACAATTTCTTCGAAGTCCACAACTAGAGGCATTTTGTCAGCAGTATGGTGCTTCTACATTAGCAGAGATCCACTCTAGCTTCTGTAATAAAGACCGAATTGCAACAATTATTCAGAAACAACGACTTCTTTCCTACCCTAATGGACAGGATATTAATGGGTTGCTATTCCTACAGAACCGGGATTCGCTAATCAATGTAAGTGGTTCTAATCATCCATTGCCTCATTGAATGGCTATTAGAATGCTAATAAAGTGCCTAGGAATACATTCAAGAGAAATATCATGATTCTCAAGGTACAATGGTATTTTGTGCCTTCAAGGATCAGATTGACTTATTATCAACTTTATCTTCATTTGAAATTGATATGTCTTTCAAGCGAATTCGATCCAAAGAGATGAATGAGGTTCTTTTTGCAACATTCATGCCAGATCAATGCAAAAGTTAGTATCTGCATAACTGCTTGAGAGCTACTTGCTAACCACTTGGCAACTAGTCATAACTTTACTTCGAGTCTTTACCAGTGAGGATTCTACTGAAGGTTACTATTTACTTTTCAAGCGAGCATTCCATCTTATTGAGAAGGTTTCTGGACGACCAGTTCTATTTGATCCAATTCATGGATCTGGGATTCATGGTATTATTGTTGATATGGACACAAAACAGTACACAGGTAAGCACTCCTGAAGTACTTATAATGCAGTTACTAAGTAATCAGGGCTTGGGCAATATCTTTCTGAAATTGATCCTCAATACCAAGATCCTACATGGCAGTTACAGCATATTATCATATTCTGTCGTGTTCATTTTCAACGCTCAATTTTAAAGGCAATTGGGACTAAAAATAAAGGATCAGGCCTTTGGAGTCGCATGATGAGTCTCCTAGATTGCCAGTCAGAGGCTGAGTATGATGAGTTGATTAAACTACTGATACGTTAGTATTGAAGTGGTAATAAATCACTCAATAAGTACTTACTAACTATTGAATAGAATATGAATCACCAGCAGTCCAGACCTGGGCCATACAAAAAAAGAGTGCAGTTATTAAGGCAGGTCTAAATGAATCATGCTCAAAAATTCAGCCACATTATTTTAATCTTTTACGAAACCATACAAATGCTGTTGAGCAATCACACCAAAAGTCATATGCTTCAGGGAAATATTTGACTTTGGCTGAAGCAGCTCGGAAGTACTTACCAACTACTCATCAACTGCTTGATACAACACTAACTATCTTAGTTCTGCAAAACTTGACAAAGATGATATTCTTCAATATCATAATTTTCAGCAGTTCAATATTCATCATTCATATCGAGCTTCTACAATGGAGGCAAACTATCTGCGGCACATGAGTTGGGAAAGTAAGTTACATAAGTACTTCTTAAGTAATTGACAAGTACTTAATTTAATATAGGAAGAGGCTGTAAACGTCAGCGATTATCTTCAACAGCTGAATCAGAGAGTCAAGCAAGCAGTCAAAATTTTGAAATCTCACATGAAAATTCAAGAAGTTCCTCTTCTCAGGTTGCTGATAATGAGTAAGTATACTTTCATGTCAAGTGCTTCTTGAGCAGTTACTGACTAGTTGATAACTACTTAGATCTACAACCTCATCACGGAATCTTCGCCGAGTGGCTTCAACAAACATACTGACAATTGAACAACGCCGTCAAGAATTAGAATTACGAGACCTGGAGGCAGAAGTCAAAAGGAAAGAAGAAGAGGTTCGCTTGAAACAGCTTCAAAATGAGCAATTAGAGCTGGAACTTATGAGGCAGCAGATTCAAATTCAGGAGCAGCAGCAAACTGATTAGCAAGTACTCAACAAGCATTCAGAAACTGTTTATATAGTAATGTTGAGCCTTCATCATCTCACTGCCTTTTATTTTTCCATTACATCTTTTTATCAGTAGCCAGCAAGTGCTGAAGAACAATCTATATGTGAGATTTGTGACCCTAATTTATTCCGCAACAAATATATATATTTTTGCTGGCAAACAACTTCAGGTAGCTATTGGCCGTCTCATACAGGTACCAAATATAGCACCTCTGAATCAATTGATTAGAATCTATATTCCAATCGCATGTACATTGGTTTTTATTAAATCCATAGACGTTTCGATGGATAGGGAAGTCATGTAAGGCAGTTGAAATTAGTGACATGGATTGAAACTTTACACAGGCTGTTTCCATCTGTATTTTAGTCACATGACTGCCAAGGCCATTAATCAGCAGGAATGTGACACGCGACCCAAAAAACGAGACCTCATCATCTGCAACCACAATCCTGACTGACACGAACCCTGATACGATCCCTGATACTATTACTAATCCTGACTCCGACTAATACCATTACTAATCCGGACTCCGACTAATACCATTACTAATCCGGACTCCGACTGACACTAATACTATCAATACTAACTCAATCCACACTCCATCTCCTCTCATCATTCACTCTCAATGCTCCATGTTATCCATCTGGCTTCCTTGATACTATCATCTCTCCCTCCATTGCTCTTCTATTATTTGCCTGCACTGCCCTTCCCTTCTCACCTCTTCTCTGCATCTTACTCATCACCTCCAATTCTTCTGCATCATTACTGTCAATCTCCATCTCTTCTCTTCTCTTCTCTATCCTTGCCTGGTCTTGGTGTCTTCCATTTTTCCATTTTCCTTCCTCTTTCCATTACTGCTTCTGCTATATATTCCTTCCACACCTAGGCTGTTAATTCATCCCATTCACCCCCACTTTTCTCTGAAGACCTTTGGCAGCAGCAGCTGCTCACTACTATCACAAGCCTCCGCCTACCCTTCCAGATCATTGAAAATGAACACTTCCAGAAATTTCTATGCTTGGCCCAATCAGCTCCTTCAGTCCCGACTTTTCATACTGGTCGAACAATGCAACGTCGCCTACAGAATATTGTCCAAGATCAGCAAAAAGACCTTCTTCGGATGCTTCCACCATACAGTAAGCTCTCAATTGGACTAGACTGCTGGACATCACCCTTTCAGCAGGCCTTTATGGCTATCACTGGCTATTTCCTTGACCAGGAATGGAACTATCGAGAGGTGTTACTAGGGTTTGAACCCCTAGAAGGCCCGCATACTGGGATAAATCTTGGTTCAGTTCTATCTGAGACCCTTCGGACGCATCAAATACCAGACCAAATTATGGCCATTACAACAGACAACGCATCAAACAATCAGACAATGATTGCAACCCTACAGGAAACCAATCCTAGCATAACAATCATCCGGATTCCTTGTATGGCACATGTTATGCAGTTAAGCCTAAAGCAGCTGCTTGGTCAGATGAAAGCAAATCCTCAGAATGACACTGCAGAGATGGTTTGGTCTGAAGAGCTTAACCAGGCCGCCTGTCAGAGAGCAAAGAAGCAAGATATTGCAAATACCCTCTGCAAGGCCCGCAATCTTGCTATTTATATTAATGCAAGCCCACAGCGGCGGGATGCCTTTCTAAAACTTCAGACTAAGCAGCCTACATTAGTCCCAATCCAGGACGTTCGTACGCGCTGGAATTCAACCTTTTTAATGCTTCAACGGGCTAAACGGCTTCAGTCTGATCTAGATCAATATTGTTTGGCATATCGCGTTAATCATTTAATGATCAATTCAGATGAATGGCGACAGATTGATTACCTTCTTTATCTTACAAAGCCTTTCTTCTGATTTACAACAGCGCTTTCTAAGACAAAAGATATCACTATCCATAGTGTCTTTAGTATCTATAATATGCTATTTGACCATCTTGAAGTCTCAATCCGACAGTTAAGACGGAAGAAGGTCAGTATCAACTATCACCATCTGATTTATATCTACCTTTTCTTACTTACCTCTTATTTTAGGTTGGATGGAAGCAACAGATGCTAGAAGCTCTTGAATCAGCTGAAGTCAAGCTTCGAGAGTATTATAGGAGAACAGATGACAAAGATCTTCATGATATCTATGCGCATGGCACTATTCTAGCACCCCAGCATAAATTGCAGTTCTTTCGTACCAAGGATTGGTCTGAAGAATATGCAACAATATATCATGAAAGTCTTCAAGATTGGATGAAAGTATATCAGACTGATAGCCTTTTGACCTCAAGGCCTCAGGCTTCTGTCCAAGCATCTGAGCTGGATAAAATGCTCGCATTTGAGACTGAGTCCACCCAGGACCAAGATGAATTAACAAGATATCTACAAGGAGGTAAGCTTTTAGTCTCATCTCCTTTAGTCTGACCTCCTTTCATCTAATGGCTTTTATCTTAGGTTTGGTCTCAATTAGCCCTTGACAGTTCTGGAAAGATCATGAGCATGAATTTCCTACACTTGCACGTATAGCTCGGGATATCTTCTCTATCCCTGCTACTGGTGCTGGTGTAGAGAGGTTATTTAATTCAGCTCGTGATATCTGTCATTATCGAAGAGGTCGTCTAAATGCCAATACCATTCAAGACCTAATGATGTTTACTTGTGCAACTAGATTTGAGATGGAAGAAGAACAGATTGCTTTCATCCAATCTCTGTCTATTCATGAGGAAGGTGAGACAGATGGTCTTTTTACTGAGACAGAAGATATTGAACCAATCAGTGATACTGAGGAAGGTGAGGAGGTATTGAGATCAATTAGGGGTGGGAAGAGACGAATGAGCCTTTTGTCTAATCATTCTGATCAGAATGATGATGTTTTAATTCCATTACCTACAATGACAGGAAGCCAAATACGTGCCTCTGGTAGAGTGAAAAAGCGCCCTAGAGTACTTGAGGGATATGAGGTTGGTTAGAATAGAGTAGAATAATGGAAATTTCATCTTTTTGTCAGAATCAATAGCTTCTTTTCGTCTGTAAGTTTTACGACTATAATACTAAAGATACTGCATAAATCGCATTGATTATGCCTCTCCAGTGGGTCTTCGTATTTGGGCATCTTGGCGAGCCCATGGGCATGACCCGTGGGCGGGCCGGCCTACTCTGACCGCCCATGGGCCCTAAGCTTAGGCCCAAGGCCCGACCATGGGCGGGCCCGGGCATGCCCATATGGTCATGCCCATGGGCATGTCAATGTCTACCCAAGGACAATGTCCAGGCCTACCTTCGACTAGAATATCGAATCTGGAGAAGAAAAGAGAAGAGACAAATCTATTTATATGAAGAAGTCCTATATGGTTGTGTGTGGTCTCGCTAAGCAGCTTGTTTGCCTTGGTTGCTTCCGTGGCATTTTTTGCCGTGTTGATGATGTTTGCTGATGAAGGCGCTGGGCTGAGCTGTTACAATATTGAGGTATTGCTAATATCGAGGTATCGCTTATAAACGGGTTGTACTACCTTGAGCAAGAAACGCGCAAGTTCACATTCCCCATCATTGCTACTAATGCATTTGAATCACGTCATGCATGCTGAAACTCTGAATTGGGGGGGGAAATCTGTGTAGCCACACATACTCTGTATTCAGAAGGGCGCGCACGGCCATATCCGGTTATCCTTCAGGAGGGGTTGATTTTTGCCATTGGGCAGGGTTGGGTGGGTCCCAGTACGGGCCGCGGGCCGGGCCTGCCATGTCTAGCCTGTCGAATCTGGATCCACCCTCTGAACCACCATGCAGTAGAGTGCCACTGGCACCCCCGTGACCCCGCCCCGAACCCGCCCTGCTGATTTTCGAGGCCCCGTTGGGGCGAGCTGGTTTGGGGCACCCTGTCCCAAAGCCCCACCCCACCCCGTTTACAAGGCCTTACGGGAAGGCATGGTATAACGCGGAGAGTCTCGGGTTTTGGGGCGGAGCATTGCCTGCCACAACCCACCCCGCCCCGTGTGAAACTCTAAGTACATGTTTCGGGTTTTATTTCATCCAGGATACTATCAATATCTTTCGCCGCCGCCCACTCCTTCTCAATAATTTCCTGGTGTTTTGGGCTTCTCACCTGAAAAGAGGCTTCAAACGGTCCAGAGACTGCTGCAAACGTGAATTTTAGGTCCCACGGGTCGACCTCAATCTTTTTTCCATCCCTGTACGCATGAGAAATATTGTATGCCCAAAGAAGTCGAGAAACCACAAGGAAAACACTACTGTATCCCAAATGTCTCCCAGGGCAGAGCCTTCGGCCAAACCCGAAGGAATTGTGCTGCACACTGGGACCCTCCAGCCATCGTTCAGGTTTGTATTGATACGGATTGGGAAATTCCTGGGGGTTGAACGCCATAACCCATATATTTGGAATTATCATAGTGCCTTTTGGGATGTGGTATCCCATGTATTCATCATCCTCCGTGTTGGCATGCGGTAAGGCGAAGGGTGCGGGAGGTTGCCATCTCATTGCTTCCTCAATCATGGCATTGACATAAGGCAAACGGGGTCGGTCTTCAGCAGAGGGGAGTCGATCAGAACCAACAACTCGGTCAAGTTCGTTCTGAGCTGATTCCATACATTTAGGATGTAAAACAATTGCCTTGATGAGTAAGCGTGTAACAGTGAGGATTGCTTCAAATCCGGCCTGCTCAAGCGTTCCAATCATATAAGCGAGTTCTTTGTCAGGCAGCTGCTTTCCGGAATCTGATCCCATGGCTTCAAGGACCCAATTCCATTTCAAGGTTGATTTGGCGGTTTGTAAGTGTTTCATGTGCAATGCAGTTGTTTGACGCTCTACATCAGCTGCAAGCCACTTCCATGGAGCCATGAATCTTGGGGTATGATCGAGCACAGGAAACAGTTCAACTAGCAGGCAGTACATGCTGCCCAAAGCCTCAAAGGGACGCGCATCAATTCTTTCCAGCTCTCTTGGCTCGTCGCAGTCTTTTCGCTCTAGATGCATTCCATAGCCCAGTGTAAGAACCAAGCTGGCCGAAAACCGAGCCAAGCTTTTAGAGAAGTCATCAGATGATAAGAGTTCAAAAAGAACTTGTTTGCTTTCACGATCCTCTAAAGGCCTGTATCGTTTGATAGCGCCCATGTCTAGCAGCGATGTGGTTATTCGATTATGAATCCGCCATCTTTTGTTGTAAGGAATGATGGCTAGATTCATTCCATTCGTCATACGCTCTGATGCCATGATAAGTCGAGGTCTTGAGCTGTAGATGGCACCTCGCTTGTCCAATAAGTCGCGAGCAATTTCGTAAGATCCGATGCTGATAACCAGACGCTGAGCATAGCGGAGAGTAATGATTGGGCCGTATTCATTGTGCCAGTTTTGGAAGCATTCCATAGGTGATTTCTTGAGTATTTCATAGATATTTCCTATTATTGGCATGGGCATAGGGCCTGGCGGGAGTGACTGGCGGTTCTTGAGGAAGAGAAGCTTGCACATAAAGAAGCAAACCACAAAGGACAGCGGTATGCTCAGAGAAAGATTGGCCAGCAAATTTAGCATGTTAGGCAGATAAGCTTTTAAAATGGTTGCTTTCGCTTTAAAAATATCCATGTGTGAGAAAGGTTTATAAAATGAAAACCTGAGAGTGTTGTTATCAGCTTTTTGAGACTTTGCTGTCCTTGATAACAAGAATTCAAGTACCTTCCCCTCATTGAAAATTGGAAAAGTAAAGGGGGTGGCGAGAAGCGAAGGCCAATCCACTGGAACAAGACCTTCTCCAGCTGAGCAAAAAGTACTCTTTGGTCTACTATCTCTAGACCTCGCCCTCACCCGCGGGTAACCCTCGGAGGGTCACCCTAATACCCTCATTTTGAGGGTTGAGGGTCTGGCTCTCTTACCCGCAGTGAGGGTCCAGGTCAGGTCTTGACCCTCCGAGGGTGACCCGCGGGTTACCCGCGGGTCATCAAACAAGACAAACAGTGGAGACTCATGTCCTGCATAATTTATGCAGGCCTTGGCTGTAATTATGTGTATCTCATTTACAGTTACATCATCACATATTGACAGTAGAAAGAAGATTTCTGTGATTGATATTGATCAGGTGACAAGACTTCATTCTTTTAGACTAAGGCTAGCTACAGTACTATTCTTAATTTCTTATTGAACCTCATACCCCTCAAGAAGTCTCGGGTGTTTCCGAACTCTCCCTGACATGCGCTGTTGTGGGAGTGGAAGAGTAGGCTCATCATCCTCATTTTCACAGCCTCCCTCTGGCATAGATGCAATACTCCTTTGCTGCTTCCCCTGGCTCTTTCCACCTGGAACTTGGCTAATTTGCTGTATCTGGATCAAATCCCCCTCATCATCTTCCTCATTATCACTAATTGGATCAAATTCACTTGCTTTGGTGTCTTTTTCCTCTCTGTCCGCCTGTACCTCTTCATAGGAGAGATACTCATTGATCATTGCCCTCTGTTCTTCCTTGAGATCAAACCGGGATGTACACATAAAAAGCATTAGGTCT